CGTGTATCACTACCCAAAATACATATCTAAAAGGCAGAATACCTAACATACTAGGAAGGTCACCCCTGTTACCAAACTTAGCTTAAATTGTGGGCTCATTTTTATTTGCAGTCTCCATTGTATTTCCTTGAGAAATGTGTATGTTGTACCATCCAAAGACTGTCCTTTGAGTAATCAGTTTTACTACAGAAATTTTTAAAAGACTGAAAGAAACAATATTTAAGGTGACGGTCATCAACAATTGAGCAGCATTGTTGCCAGAAAACTGAGTTGGTAGGCTTTAGATGAGAAACTAATGGAATGAAATATTTAGTTTGTAAATGGCAACAGGACGTTTAAAATCATTCCAGCATGAAACTACAAATGTTCTCTACCTACTCCCCTAATGTACTATTTTAACCAAATTACTCTGATGGACATTTGGTGAGGTCAGAAGCAGATCAAGAAAGAGGAACTGGAAAGAGTATTATAGTTTGTTATTCACTGTTCTCTTGGAGAGAACACAGCATAGCCACTTGGCCACTCAAGGGAACCGCTTGGTTCCTCATGAGGCAGAGGGAGAAAGAATTCTGGCCAACAGCATTTATTGTGGTTTCCATGGGAAGGAATGTTTAGGATTAGCTAGTTACAATTTCTTGAGCCTATGGGCTGTCTCAGATTATCTAATATTTATACCCTTGGGCAGTTTAGGAGTGATGTATGAGTGGAAGACCTGTGAAGAGAGGTAATCAGGATGTGAACCTGGCCTCTAGCCAGGGTCTCAAAATTGGTCAAGATGAGATTTTTTTTTTCCAAGTTATATCTTCCTACTTCCTAAAACTAAAAGTAAGAGGAAGAAGGAGGGGGAGGAGAAAATTTACACATTCAATAGTAAGACCATCATGTCACCTCATTTTCTCTATCAGATAAACCCATTATGGATCCTTTATTGTAATGCTGTTTTATTTACTATTTTTATTATAATGTAATTTTTGATGTCACATAATGATATAAATTGATCACCAAAAATATGTCCCTTTTATTGATACATCAAAATTATCTCTCCCATATCTTATTCCAATACCTTGTTAGAGCCAGTGACTATAATAAGGTAGAAATAATATTCTTCTAATTGTTGAATTGAAATGAATATTTTATCATCAGATATAAATATAATGATAATAGTTGATTGATTATTGTAGGCCAAGCACTGAGCAGAGTGTTTTACTTATGTTTCTTATGAACTTGTAGGAACTATTTGAGGTGAAATCTGGGGCATAAAATAGTATATTACACAAAACCATTGAATTACAAATAACAGTGAGATTTGAAAGACCTTCTGCCTTCAGTGCTCATGCACATAAGCCCTTATGTTAGCTTAAGGAATTATTTATGTTTATAAGCCCATTATAAATACTTTGAAATTCCAAAAGTATAGATATATTTTTCTGATTTTTCACTTACTATGAATATAAGAAACAGTAATGTAGTAATTATGACTAATAATGTGGGTATTTTATGGATATATTGAAACAAAGAAGCAATGGTTATTTCCCACAGAAAACGATCTGCTTCTCAGTTGGTTTACAAAGGCTTGGGCAGAGCAGAGACCACTGTGAGAAGCTTTTAAGCATTCTGATGTATTATTTAAATAATATTATGTCATTTGCATTGTTACATCTTCTGTGACTTTTAAGAAAATAATGGCAGGGGCACCTGGGTGGTGCAGTTGGTTAAGCGTCCGACTTCAGCCAGGTCACGATCTCGCGGTCCGGGAGTTCGAGCCCCACATCAGGCTCTGGGCTGATGGCTCAGAGCCTGGAGCCTGTTTCCGATTCTGTGTCTCCCTCTCTCTCTGCCCCTCCCCCGTTCATGCTCTGTCTCTCTCTGTCCCAAAAATAAATAAAAAATGTTAAAAAAAAAAAAAAAGAAAATAATGGCAATCAAAATATCCAAAAGAAGAATATAGATGCATATATATGGTCTCTTCATTAAAATGATGACAATTTAATGAAATTAGAGAAATACACAAGCAAGAGTTTTGTATAAAAGCAGGTGCTCTCCTCATTCCTCATTAATTATAGTTATTTCACGCAAATATTCTAATTCATTTTATAAATATTTTAGAATGGGTAGGAATTTTTCAGAGCAGTTTATATTTGTATGTTGCTTGGAAAGATAAAAGTCATTATTTTGATTTTTTTTTCATGATACAACACACTAAATCCTACCTGGTGGTGTGCAGATGTTTTTAAAAAGTATCTGTGGGTACTTAATCTACAACTAGGGGTATATTTAAATACTTCACAAGTATTGTGCTGTAAGTCTGGCACAGACTGGGCTTTGAAGTACAAGACTACACCTAGCAAATGATTCAGTATATGCCAAGATAATTTTGAGGAAGTAAATCATAACAAGTCATATACTTTCCTACCATCTCTTGTTTCTGTGGTGCCTTTATCTAATGTGATATAAAGATCCATCCCACTTCTGTTCTACTTCTAACTGTTCTCTCTTCTGATTAATGGCATACTTGGATAAAACTACTGACTTGGGAAGGTTGGAGGAAGTGCCACTCTGTATAAAGTATGCAGTCATTTTTGTACAAGTGAGAACATTTTACTCTCCTCACCATAGGCTTTAAAGCTATGAATACTGAAGGCATTTCTGTAATATATGTGCTTCTTAACAGCATCTCGCTTTAGCCATAGTGAACAATTTTCCTTCATTTAACTCAGGGAAATTAGTTTATGAAGGATGTGAATGACTTCTTACACGCACCAAGAAGGACAGAGAGTGGGTAACTAGCAGTTAGTAACAGGAAATGATACAGTTAGGAGGAAAAAATGAGTGATGTATATGAGGATGACCACTTTCCTCATCCTTTGACAAATATTCAGAAGGCTTGCTGTGTTTTATATTAGTGTCTATCTAATGGGATTTAAAATACTTAATGATTCATAACTATTTTGCCTTACTTTGTAAAGCACCTCTGCATAAAGTATCACAAATAATCCTCACAATTATTCCAGGTACCCCTATATTTTATAAACAAAGATTTTTAAGTCATTAGGTAGATATCCGTAAGTTATGTCCGATATTTCATATACTGGGTTGAGGGTTTCCTTCCCTGCCCTATTCTCATTTTAAAACACTCAATGGAATAAACTCTAAGTGGATATGAATTACTTTACCAATCCCTGAATATCATAACCTTTCAAAAATATCTCTTCCATTTGAGAAATAATTAATCAGAATTAATGAGCATGAAAATAAAATCCCTGAGGCTGAAGTCTCATAGGAAGATAAGTGGACCTTCACTGCCTGATTTTGTAAAGATTCTCCCAATTCTTTGGTCCAACGCTAGCAGAGCCGTTCTTTAATAAAGTCAGTAGCATTTGTGTATATGTGGAGGCAGTAGGTGAGGTCACATATCACATACTCTATTTGTTCAAGAACTCAGGTAATCCTTGTTTCATTTGACATGGCATACTCTAGCACAGAGTAGCTCTTTCCAGAAGACATAGCTGCTGAAATACATTGTTGATGATAAATAATGTTTTTGTTTGAGTGTATATACATGGAACAATAAAAATAACTTTGGATTATTGGCCTTCTAAGATGTTTGTGAAACTGATTATTCTAGATTTCTAATTGTTGCCATTATTTGGAAATGTATCCAATTTTATTTGTATTTTATCATTGGTTTAATTATTTTGTAAGTAATTTTTAGTTTTTCTTTGGAAGTTCAGAAGAATTTTCTATATTTATGTTGTATTGCCTGAATATTTCTTCATCTGTAATTAAGTTAGGCAGGCCCGTTTCTTCATCTGTAATTTAGTTAAGCAGGCCATGTAGTTTGCTCTATTTTCTGAAATGGGATGTATATTTACCTCTAGACTTCTTTCCAGTATATATAATTCCTTTGCCTGTCACCAAGGAATTGTGCCAATCTCTTGGTAGATACAACATCTTCACCTGAGCAAGTAATTACACACCTACATCCACACACATGCTCAGACACACAGAGACAGACTGATAGATAAATTGATCTAGACTTTTGAGATCACTATGTGATAAAATATATATTTTCCTTTATAGTAACGATTCTCTCATGATTGACTTTTTATTTTATTTGTTTATTTGTTAGTGTGTGTGTGTGTGTGTGTATGTGTGTGTGTGTGTGTGTATATATATATATATATATGTTCATGGATGCAAAGTAATACATTTGTTTTGCTTTTACAAATACTGAAATTTTTACCTCAAGTAATGTCCAGTTTTGTTTATATCTTTTAGTCCAAAACCAGCAATATTTCTGAGTCAAGTGATTAAAAGGTGTGATAAACCTGATTCATCAGTTTTCCAAAGCACATTGATATATTTTCTGGCAGATATATCTAGATATATTCCTCTCCAGACACACTGCACATACTTGAACTTAACAACTCCTTGAGAGCACTGAATAGCAACATCTTAATGTTTTCCCAAATTGATAATCAACAAATGTACTTAAATTTCTATTTGTATTTAATAATTTTCTGGTGAAGTTGAAAATTCATATATTTTGAAGTATCCATGCATTAAGTCCTACATAAAATAAAATGTTTATATGTATGCTATTTAACTCATATAATTTTAAAGATAACTCACAAGTTCTATTATGCAAAGAGAAACATTCACTGAGATGAGTATTCACAATTCATATTTATTTCTGTGTTGTAAGAATCCTGTCAAACATAGAATATATTCCTTTAGCTCCCAACATTTTCTTACCATGTATGTAGAAGGTCAGGAAGAGAATAATTAAAATATGCAGCTACCTATCACTTAAAATAATTTACAGGCCCTTCTAATACTTTTGGAATGGAAAGTATCCGAAGTAAAGGCTCTCAAATTATATGAACGGATAGTTTTTAAGTGAAAATGACCACCAGTAGTACATTTTTGTATCTTACATTTTATTAATATTTTCAGTACCAACATTTTCTCTCCCCTCTTCATTTTCTGAATGGTCACAGGTTTTAAAAACATTTCTAGACCCTTTTGTGATCCACTTGCTACGTGAATGGAAGCTTGAAAGAATTGCTGCTATGACCACCCAAGCTTCTTTCAAATTTCTGAGGACCAGCCTTCCTGTGTAATTCGGTGTTTGATATTCAGATTGTTCTATTCCTACAAGACAACACTTTGATCGCTTTCAGAAAAACTGGTAAGTATAACTGACAAAAAAAACTATGTATTGTCTTAATATTTATGTGTATGCTTAAAAATGGTTTTTCTGAAAATTAATGGTAACTCTCTAGCCCTTAATATTTATGCACTTTAAACATGGATTTTAAATTATTTCCTTATGGAACATCTTTATTTCAGATTTGAAAAGTTCTGGGAAGAAGAGAGGCAAAAATAACTAATAATCTTATTTTAGAAATTACAGTGGAATTTGATGGCATATCAGATTTAATCTTTTCTTCTTTTTTTTTTTTGTTTCAAGTTTTTATTTAAATTCAGAATAGTTAACATATAGTGTAGTATTGGTTTCAGTGGTAGAATTTAGTGATTTATCACTTACATATAATACCCAGTGCTCATCACAGCAAGCGCCCTCCTTAATACCCATCATTCATTTAGCCCATCCTCAGATATAATCATATATTAGCCCCTCCATAAGAGATGTATTAAACACTGGCATATGACAATGACATTAATGGATATAATGTGAAATCCATTTTTTGTAGTATTTATTGTTCAGAGAATATATCTATTATATTATGCTTTTTAAAGTAAATTGTGAACTTATGTTACACATCTGTACATTTTTAGAGACTTGTTTTTAGGGAAATTGGAACTCCCTCCAATCACACAATGTGAGATCTCAGCTGCTTTTAAAGGCAATCAAGTTGGGTGCCTGGGTGGCTTAGTCAGTTAAGCAACTGACCTCGGATCAGGTCATGATCTCACAGTTCATGGGTCCAAGCCCCACATCAGGCTCTGTGCTGACAGGTTGGAGCCTGGAGCCTGCTTTGGATTCTGTGTCTCCCTCTCTCTGCCCCTCCCCAACATGTGCCCTCTCTCTCTCTCTCTCTCTCTCAAAAATAAATAAAATGTAAGAAAAAAATTTTTAAAAATTAAAAAAATAAAGGCAATCAAGAAACTTATATGGTATCATGATGTTAATCAGTAATGAACTTTTGATGTAGAGCACTAATTATTTGTCTTACAAAAAAAATTTATGGGAGCAAACACATCAATAATTTTGATAGTTAAAATAATAATTAGCTGTTATTACTCTTGCTGATTGGATGGTAATCACAATAAATGAGTCCTCAAATTTTGATTTTCCTAACAGAATAGAATCCATATAATTTTCTCTGTCATAGAAATGGATATATCAAGTCTTGGATAAATAATGAGGTATCTCATTTACCAACTGCAACAGCCTCTGTTCGTAAAAGATCACAACAGTGTCTTTCTGTTCACATAGTCTTCTGAAATGTGAACTTGTCTCTCTCTCATCAAGAAGTGGAGTAGTGTGTATCACTCCCTGAATCTGACCAATAAGATAAGGCAGAAGTAATGATGTTGGACCAGTAGTGAGATCAGTCTTTAAATGGCCTAGTAATTTGCATATTCTACAAACCCTATAGGAAGTGCAATTATCTTGAGACAGACATTCCATTAAGAAAAAAATAAAAAGTAAAAACAAAACAAAACAAACAAACAAAAGCCCAAATTTGGAAATGAGATGAAATACAAAAGAAGAGAACAAAAGTACTAAATGTGTAAGAAATGGATCCACCAGTTCCAGGCACTCCATTTTCTGCCATCTGGACAGGAACTACTAACTGGTTCTTCCACAAAATCATGAACAAATGATTTTTTTTTTTTAATTTTAAGCCACTAAAACGTGGCTAGTCAGTTATGAAGACGTCTAAAACACCCATGCTCACTTGGAAGAAACACAAAACATAATGAAAATATAGGTGATTGAATTCTATAAATAATAGTAGATTACAAGTAAAATTAGACTGTGTAATGTACTTCCGTCAATTATTAAAAAAAATTAACTTATTTTTGAAAGAGAGAGAGAAAGAGAGAGAGGGTAGGGGAAGGACAGAGAGAGGAGAGAGAGGAGAGAGAGAATTCCAAGCAAGCTCGCTCTGTCAGCTCAGAGCCCAGTGCAAGGCTGGAATTCACAAAGGGCTCCAACTCACGAACCATGAGATCATGACATGGGTTGAAATCAAGAGCCAGATGCTTAACTGACTGAGCCACCCAGGGGCCCGAGCTCAATTATTTATTAACTACTTATTATGGTTTTCTTTTCAAGAACCGTCCTTTCCCAACTGAGGATGTCAACATTATCACTGTCCTATAGTCCTTTTTGTAGGTAAATGACACAGGATAGTCAATAATACAATCAATGCTACAGTGATTGTATTAAAGGTTATACAGAGCTAGATAATAAGAATCCTTTTTGTGAGATTTTCATTGATTCTAGGAATGAGGAAGTTTATCTTTTTGAAATGGATATGACTGAGGACCAGGTGATCCTTGGGTTGCCAGTGGATATTAAGGCCAACATGTGGAAAAGGCCTGTCTAAGAATTAATTTTTAAAATATATAAATCAAAGTGAATCAAAGTGAACAGAAAAAGACAGGCAACTGATGACATCTTTTGAACTCCAGGGCCCAGTCATGCCTTAAGCAAGAGCTTTCCCTTTCATTTCACAGATATGTTAGCAGCAAGATATGTTTTTTCCTTGAACTACTTAGATTTGGTTTTCTGTTACTGAAACTCCACATCCTGACTAACCAATATGGAATGTTGTGGGATCTTGGAGACGGAAAGGATTTATAACAGAGATCCTGCCTATCATGAATTTAGTATGAAGTTAATTTTGGATTGGAAATAGCCTCAATATTCACTTAAAAAGCAATTGTTGAGCATTTATTGTGTGCAAAATGTGTGTATTAGACATATAGTGGTACACATACATGTCCTTCTACCATATATGTTCTTAAGAAACTAACAATAAGTTGAGACATTTTATGTTTTTAGGTAATAAAAAATTTATGGCTTCCAATTTGAGATTTTGGGGATAAAACAGAGCCATTTACTACCAGGAGTTCCCATGGGAGCATATAGTTGTTAAACACTGGGATATAAATTAGAAGAACCCTTTCCTCATCCTCTCCTTGTGTCTAGTCTATTTTTTTCCCTTTTCTCAGATGACCTCATAGGGCACAAGTCTAAAGAGATTAATGTGTCCACACAACACTGGAGTTGTTCAAGAGCATACAGCAGTATTGTAAGAAAAAACATTCCCAAACTATTATTTTCAAATAGTTCCTTAGCTTGAGTTGGAGGACGCACATAGATGACAGTATGACATCCACATGAGGTGTTATTTCACATATGCCATGGCACATAGCAGAAAGATGTTCTAGCACAAGACACCTCCATCCTGGAGTGAGCTGCATTATTTCTTCCACTGATTAGTTTTTTATGTACTTAGCAATACAAAGTTTTCCCAGCTGAGTCAGTCCTCTCAATACCTTAGGCATTTTATTAATTTTCTCTTCATTTTGTTTTATTAATTTTCTCTTCTTGAAGAAATATCACTTTGAACTCTGAGCCTTTTGACTTGCTCCGGTCTGGGACTAATGTCCCTGCTGGGCTCATTGCATATCTGGCATGTTAAGAATACCCTTAATAAAAACTGCAATAATAATAGCACATGCATCTAGTAATTGCTATTTCTAGGCATTTCACTAAATATTTTACCTTTGATAATTCAATTATGTTTATTTTTAAAAGTTTTATACATGAAGTTTTGAGATAAATACAGAAAAACTGATTTGCCCAAGATCATACAGCTAATTTGCCCAAGATCATACAGCTAACAAGTGACCAGGGCGTGATTGTAACAAAGTAATCTGTCTCTAGAGTCCTTGGGAGGTCTGAAAATGACTTTCTTTAAATGCTATTTATTTTTGAGAGAGAGAGACAGAGTGCAAGCAGGGGAGGAACAGAGAGAGAGAGGAAGACACAGGCTCGAGGCTCTGAGCTGTCAGCACAGATAGCGGGTTTCAAACTCATGAACCGCAAGATCATGACCTGAGCTGAAGTTGCCAACTGAGCCACCCAGGTGCCCCTAAAACAGATTTTTTAATGATAGTTTCAGAAGGTATAAAATTTTATTGAAAATTATTGCTTTATCATTTCCCTTCTCTCTAGCTCTTTGCGAAATCTGATAGACTTATCTGCAGCCTGTGTTGTGTGGGCAGCTGGGACTTCTTCCAGTCAACATGATCTCTCCTATAATCTGTGTCATTGACTAGTTGAACTCTCTAAATATATCTCTTCTTAAATACCTCCATCAGGTCAATTTCCTCACTCTCGTTGGGAATACAGTCCAGCGAATCTCTGGGTATCAGCTTGTGCATCCAGTCCTGCTGTTTTACATAGGATTGATCGGTTTTCTCTGTCAGATGTGCCTCTTTTACCACATAACAATATTTGACAGCCTTTGTCTGAGATTTGCTACTGTGTATGTTCCCCTCAAAATTCTTCAAATAATATTCATTACATTTTAGTCCATTTTTCAGCCCTTACTCATAAATACTGATTCAAAATTACAGATATCTAATAGCTTCTATCAGTGCATTTTGTTCTGATATTTCTCTATAACCAGACTGATGGCATATTCTCTTTCTCTTTGTACCTTTATATGTTTCTCCATCCATTCATGTATTCACTAAGATAACTTCTCTGTATCTTATTCTTAAATTTGAGTCCACGGTGACTTCTTATTTCTTGAGATTCAGATTCATATTCCCAAACTATATCCACATCAAGGAAGTAAACACATAATCAAGCACACAAACATACTCAAAAACAGCCTATCCTCATAATTCCTATCCTGAAGTACATTCTCTCTGTAGGTATTCAGGTATTCAGTATTGTTATTCTGGATTCAAACTCCAGAGTCATTGCTTCTCTTCCTTCTTATTTTTACTTATTTGATTAGTTACAAATTGTATTGATGCTATCTGAGCAAAGCCTTTCTGAATCCCTTTATTTCAATTGCAGTTAGCTCTTTTATTTCGTAACAGATTCTATCTTCCTCCTACCATATATATCCTTCCCCTAGACAGCATGCACATTATTCTGCAAAGGAGGATTTTGAACATTCTCAAAGATATTCTACTTCTTTTATTTTAGATAATAAATTGTCATTTTATTTAGAAAACTATGTAAATTATAGGCAAAACAAATATATTTTTAGAATTATATTTTACATACATAATTATATATTATATAATATTATATATATACTAAGATAAATAGTGTCATATAGAGAGTTTTAGACATGTCTTTCTTTTTTCCTCCAGTGAGCTCTTTTTTATAAATTTTGTAAATGAATTTAGATTCCTGGGAAAAGAGAGAATCCTAACTATTGTTAAATGAAACTTTAAGTACCTCATCGGTCAACTCTCAACATTAATTAGCAGTCATCAACAGGGAACTTCATCTTTTCTCTTCCTCAGATATATTTGTATTTTATTCATATATATTCTAAATTTTATTTCAAAATAGGAATCTGAAATATAAGAATAAAGTTGTCTTAAGATGAGTTAATAAGTTTATTCATTAAATGATAATCAAATTTGATAAAAGTTATAAATTGTTCATTTTTTTCTATTAAAGTTTGTAGGAAAAATTGTAAAAGTAAATATACATCTAGGTGCCTCCCAACTGACTCTAGTTAAGCAGAATGAAGGGTGTAAAATCTATGGCAATGTTAGCAAAAATCATCATGAATTCTATATCCCTCAATGTTTGATGTTTTGAAGGATAAAAGGAAAACAAAATGTTTATAAAATAATATTTCTTTATTCCTTAATTTCTCTTTCTGTTGCTTCATTATTGGTGTATAGAAATGCAACAGATTTCTTTGTGTTGATTCTGTATCCCACAACTTTACTGAATTCATCAATCAGTTCTAGTAGTTTTTTGGTGGGATCTTTCAGATTTCCTACATAGAGTACTATGTTATCTGCAAATAGGGAGAGCTGTATTTCTTCCTTGCCAATTTGGATGCCTTTTGTTTCTTTTTATTGACTGTTTACTGTGGCTGAAACTTCCAGTATTGTGTTAAATAACAATGCTAAGTTACACAATTTATTATTTTACATTTATGCTTAAAATTAATAAAAAATTTCATTGTTAGAACATACTGTTTAAAGTTCTAGAATTTTAGTGGCCCCTGGAATGCTCAGTCTGTTAGGCGTCCAACTTCAGCTCAGGTCATGATCTCATGGTTTGTGGGTTTGAGCCCCGTGTCAGGCTCTGTGCTGATGGCTCAGAGCCTGGAGCCTGCTTTGGACTCTGTGTCTCCCTCTCTCTCTGCCCCTCCCCCACTCACGCTCTGTCTGTCTCTATCAAAAAATGAATAAACGTTAAACAAAATTTTTTTAGTTAAATAAAAAAAATAAAGTTCTAGAATCTTAGTAACATTTGGCTCAACTAAATATTTGTTAAAGTTTAACAAAATTCAAAGATACTATGAAAATATAAACCTTTTTTTCACTGTTGATTATAGAGTTTATTTTACACATACCTCATAGCCATGCTTAATTAAAAAGTTAAAATTATATTTTATTGATATGTAAAGTTAAAATATTATATTTTAGTATTTATGTTTTGTTTTACAATTATTTAGTAAATCTTTTATTAATGTGGCCAGCATACTATGGAGACTGAAGAGTGAACTGCCCTTATGTTAAGTGAGGGAGAACTTCTGTTTGTCTCCAACCCAGGTACACTTTGATAAGGACCTAGTTCCACTTTAAATTAAGTAGTAAGATGGGAGGATACAGATTTTATATGTGAGCAACAGCTCTTGATGCCTTATATAAGAAGAAATTGTTACTTCTCTACTTTTCAAAAGATTTTCTCTGATTTACATGTTTTCAGAAAGACCACACGTGAATAAGTTATATATCCTTACAATTTTTGCATATGTCTTTGATTATATTTAATGTCAATGTATGTTTACTTTCAGTCATGTTGGCCCTTTGATGCAGGGCAATGTGAAATTATTTTTATCTACTCACACTTTATAAACCTCAAAATATTTAGTATAAAGATAAGTCTAATATGTAATTGTTACTGGAATTTCAAAATTCATTGACTTCTTAAGCAGGAGAAACTTAAAAAAGAAAAGTCTCTTCTTTGTTTTATCTTTAGCTTAAAGTTTTATCTATTGCTGCCATAATTACTAAAATTCTTTGAACTGAGTCTCTGTTTTTCCCTCCTTCTTCTCTTATCTCTATCCCCAAAGCCATTTGATTAAAATTTCAAGTCTCTTAACAGCACTCCTTCTTCCTGAATAATGCCCACATGCTTATAGGCATTCCTATGGGGTTTTGTTCAATTAAAAATATCATATGAGATATAGCAAATTCAGAAATAATATTCAGAACATCTATTCCTAATTATCAGAAAATGTTCTAAAAACAGCACATTTGTACGTGGGACAAGTATAAATCTAATATGTTAATGTTATATGGGACATGGTAGGCATTCATAAAGGATCACATAACATTTAAAATTGGCATTTCAAATTTACTTTGCAACTGTTTAGCTTTTAGGGGACTGAACTGAGTTCAGAATAACGATGCATAGGGAATAGAAACTGATGTGTGAAATGATTATTAATAGAATGTCTTAGTGCCTTATAAAAATGGTGACCTTGAAATCAAGTAGAAATTTGAGAAGTTAAAATTTATTTTGTGCGGGGAAGTATTTAAAACTGAAATAATTAACTGAGATTGGAGTCAAGGAGCACAAGTTTTTTGTTTGTTTGTTTGTTTGTTTTTTCTTTTCTTTAAATTTGGGGTGGAAAATGTATGACTGTAAAGAATTTATGTAGTCCGTTCTATCCTGACCCAAAGGACTCTACTCAAAGGATTAATTGTGATCTTTTCCACTAATTGAGATTTAGTCTGACTTTGTTCTAATAAATTAGCCTCTGTTGTGCATCATTTTAAATGCTCCAGTGAACACACACATTTTCCAATTTCAAATGAATCCAATTGATGTATTGCCATGAATGCACCCTGATGCTGTATTTCAATATTTTGCAGAGGTTCATCTTAGCTCCCTGTTAAAGAAAGTTACGAGAAAGAGGATTAAAAAATTTACTCCATATTGTTGTGGATTAATACATCTTTTAAAATATTAATTCCATATTTGTAACTCAGAGTGTTTTATCCCAAAATGCATGAAAGCAGATATAAGGGCAATTAAAAGAACAGACTGCATTACTTGACATATAAAAAAACTTTAGAAATTATAATCACTTTAGATTCATACCACAGGTGATTTGGGAAAAAAAAAGTCTTCTTCTAGTCCTTTGAAAGACTGTAGGTGGCAAAATAATGTAGGTATTAGTATTTAAGCATGATTTTGAAAAATTGAAAATTCTCTCATGATTTTCTATTATATAAACAAAACACAGTCTTTAAAGCAATATCTCCAATAATTATTTCAATTAATTTATTTTATTATTATATTTAATATCCATCTACTTTTAATGATGTTTATTTGTAAATTACTTTATTTACTTATAGATGAATATTTGGAAAATAGAGCTCATTACACCTTCATAGATTTTTTTCACACACAGAAAAACATAAAAAGGGGAAATACTGAAATATTAGCCTGTCCCTTATACATTTAGAGTAGTCCAGATTGCCCCCATGTTAATGTCAAAAATAACATATCATATCAATTCTTTTATGACCTGAATCCTGGGTTTTTGTTTTTGTTTTTGTTTTTTCTTTGTTTTTGTTGTTATTGTTTTGTTACAGTGGCAGCCACATTTGTAATTTCAACACTATTTCTCACTTCAGGACAGATGTACATTCATTTCTACCTGAAATTATCTTTCTTACCTACACCATTTCCCATCATCTGGTTAGATACTATGTGTCCATTATAATTCAGTTTCAAATTTCTCTTTTGTCCTCTCAAAACACCTATGAATTCCCAGGTTAGTGGGTACATCACATTGTACTTTTAGTAACATTCTCAGCTGCTAACGCAATATTTGGAGTACAGTAGGAATGCAATATACAACTGTATTTCATTAGGAGCTCAAAGCAATAATTGTACACAACCAAATACACATTCTTTGTGTATTTAGGAAATACAGAGATTAGTTTGAAGTGGTACAAGTTTTTAGTGAGGTTTTTTAGAGTGGAATGTAGATCAGGAAAATGATAAATGAGTGAACTTCAGATATTTAGATAGAGAGGACAAAAACAATTTTACAGAAGGACTGGATTGAGGGAAGCTTTAAAATTTTAAATTATTACAATCTACTTTGAGATCATAAGTGAAAAAGATGTGGGAACTCAATGCACTGTGAAAGGTATGGATTTGATCTTACCAGGGATTCCAACTGGGACATTTTATTTTATTTTTTTAATTAATGTTTATTTTTGAGAGAGAATGAAAGAGAGAGAGAGAGAGAGAGAGAGAGAGAGAGAGAGACATAGAGAGAGGAAACACAGAATCCAAAGCAGGCTCCATGCTCTGAGCTGTCAGCATAGAACACAGTGCAGAACTCAAACCTAAGAACTGTGAGATTATAACCTGAGCCAAAGTGGCATGCTTAACCAACTGAGCCACCCAGGCGCCCCTCAACTAGGACATTGTAGATCTACCACTAGATCCTCAGGCCCAATAAGTGTATTGAAAGACACTGTTATAGCTCAGTAAAGCTGGAAAAATAAAATAAAATAAGAAAGAAAGAGAGAGAGAGAGAGAGAGAGAGAGAGAAAAGAAAGAGAAAGAAAGGAAAAGAAAAGAAAAAAGAAAAAGCAAGAGAAGAAAATAAGAAAGGAAAGACATGGTTGAAAACTCTAGAAAGGCACATAAGGCATATCAGCATGATGAAATCCCACCATCCTGATGATGGTGTCCAGAATGGACTCTATTGACCATCTTCTACCTATTTCGCTCCGGGCCCCATTTATGCCATTCACACTTTTAAAAATTATTGAAGACTCAAGAATGTTTTTTTTGATGTGATTTATACCTCTCTGGATTTAGAAATTATAAATTAGACAATTTAAAATATGCATTGATTTAAAAATAATGAAAATAAACTCACGCTAACATAAATAACATATTTTTAAATAAAATGCAACTATAATTTCAAAAACATAAGAAAACTTAGTAGGTATGTGACATTGTTTGCATATTTGGAATTTCTTTAATGAATAGCTTAATAGTAGACTGCTAAACTCTCCTATTGCCTTCTGCATCAAATCTGTTGCCAAATGTTTTGGGTGAAGTCTATAAAGAAAATTCTGGGGGCGCCTGGGTGGCTCAGTCGGTTAAGCGGCCAACTTCGGCTCAGGTCACGATCTCACACTCCGTGAGTTCGAGCCCGCGTCGGGCTCTGTGCTGACAGCTCAGAGCCTGGAGCCTGTTTCAGATTCCGTGTCTCCCTCTCTCTGACCCTCCCCCGTTCATGCTCTGTCTCTCTCTGTCTCAAAAATAAATAAACGTTAAAAAAAAAAAATTAAAAAAAAAAAAAAGAAAATTCTGTTCTACACAGATGTGTGGTTGGAAAAAAGAAGACCTCAAGGACCTCAGGCATCCTCAGATCACATGTCCATGACCATTTGATTAAAGAGAATGTGGTGGGGCGCCTAGGTGGCGCAGTCGGTTAAGCGTCCGACTTCAGCCAGGTCACGATCCCGCGGTCCGTGAGTTCGAGCCCCGCATCGGGCTCTGGGCTGATGGCTCAGAGCCTGGAGCCTGTTTCCGATTCTGTGTCTCCCTCTCTCTCTGCCCCTCCCCCGTTCATGCTCTGTCTCTCTCTGTCCCAAAAATAATAAATAAACGTTAAAGAGAATGTGGAAACCTACTCATTGTGAGACTATTATAGCATTGGAACTATTAGGTAAAAGTGTAAATGGTTTCATCCAGTCGCTTAACATGCAAATCAATATTTTTAACTTGCCCAGGACTTATTCTTAAATGAAGACATTTTTTACTCCCTAATGTGTCCCCTGGTATATAACTGCTCATTCATTAAACAAGTTTCATGCCACTACAAGGATTTGAACCAATATCCTTAAACAAATTCTAGAAAAGTAGTAGAATGTGTTTTATGCAGTTCGACGCTTGCCTTTATAACACGACAGAGACAACATAACAGAGATCAGAGGAACTTTTACTTCATCCTCATTAGAGTACTCATACGTGTTCTGGGATTGCACACTCAGACACAGCTGAGCACTGTCACAGTTACACAATATAAATCTATGTGGTAGGTAATAATACAGAAGCATTTGCTTCTGTTACTGCATACCTTCCCTACTTCCAGTGGGCCTCATCTTTTTCAAACATCTGCTTCCCCTTATCCATCAAACTCTTAATAATAATAATGTTTATTATTTATTTAATTGTGTCTCATTAACACCTAATTAAATATGCAGTGTCATCCAGAGGTTTTATTTCTTAGGCAAAGATGGATCATATCTGTTGACTTAGCATCTCTCTTGTGACATTCAGTCCATCCATCACTGTGCAATACTGAATTTATCTTTGAGTAACTTGTAGGGAATAAATCCTTTATGTTTTCAGAAGTAGCTATTTTAACTCCAAATGTCTATAACTCAACCTTTCTACTTACACTTGTCTACTACTGCCACTACCTACTATAGACGTATAATGTATAACAGGATGCACTTCAAAGAAGACAAAAAACATTCACACATGTCCAAAGTATCCACATGGAAATAACCAAATAAGCCATAATAAAAAATATAATGAATAAGTAATGTG